GGAAATGTCTCCGAAATTGAACAATTGATCTCGGGTGAATTACAGCTGTCACTCATGAGGAGGCGTGTGAAAGTTTAGTTGTAACCAATGACAAACAACTTGTTCACTGTCAATTATGGATGAATCCTGTGAATCCCCAATTGGCAAGCATATATAAACTGCGCAGGAGCTAGTGTGTACCATTTCTACACTTCTGTGACACAAAATGGAAGATCAGCACCGTGGAAGAGGGGTGAAGATGCGGGGAGGAAGGGGAAGGGGAAGAGGGAGAAGAGGCAGATATAGGCGGATTCCCAATGAAATAAGGGCTACAATTGTGGACCATGTTGTCAATCACAGCCTCACCATGGAGGAGGCTGGTCGAAGGGTGCAACCCAATATTGGAAGAACTACTGTCAGTTCAATCATTCAAACATTCCGTAGGGAAAACAGGTATGCAAACAGTAATACACTGTACTGTACTGTGCCATCTCAGACACATCACATGTTACTGTACTGTATTTGCAATTTCACAAAAAGTTCACTCTGCACCACATAGGATTGTAAGACAACCTCGCGGAGGCGGAAGAGGGCCCCTTCTTACCCCACAGCAAAAAGAAGCCATTTGTGCAATGGTCATTGCAAACAATGCAATAAAGCTGAGAGACATACAAAGCGCTGTCATAGAGAATTACACGGTATTTGGCAATATTGAATCTGTTCCAATTTCAACAATTGACAGAGTACTCAAGACAAATGAAATCCACATGAGCAAATGGCCCTGCTAGCAGCCATGGATGCAGCATGTGACGACATCACAGCAGGGTCCTGCAGAGGATGGATTCGCCACTCCAGGAGATACTTTCCTCGCTGCATTGCGAGGGATAACATCTGTTGTGATGTAGATGAAAATATGTGGCCAGACAGACAGGAACGTCTGGATGTGCCAGAATGATTTACTGTACTGTTACATGTGCTGTTTATTGTTCACATTAGTGCACAGCTCTACCAAATGGGTGATTTTATGTTTACATGTATTCTACAGTGAACAGGTGACTGTAGCATATTTTTCTTTTGCACACTTCTGTAGGATTACAAACACTTCTACACAATGGAAATGTGAAACGTACGTATTCAGTGTCTCAGTTACTCCCAAGACTCCCATAACATCTACAGTGACTTTACTGCACATTTCAGATGGCTGTACAGGTAGGCCATAGTGCTGTCGTCAGCATTTTCAGGTGTCACCAATTGTTTTTGCAATGGGAAACACTGAAATTATAAACTGTCATAGTGGAAACATGACAATGCCATTTGACTATCTTGTTCATAAAGATGGTGTCAAGACTTTTCATTTTGATGGCACTGACAGTTTCATTGACATGGATACTTGCTTTTGAGGTATGGATAATCAATTCTGTGCATGTGACGTGCTTTTGCAGGCTATCCACTAGGTTTTGCAGTTTGCACTAATTGTTTTGGGAAATGCACTAACTGCTGTGCAAATGTTAATGGTGTTCTGAGGAACGCACCAAAGCGACTGAGAAAAACTGGAATTTCCCCGTGGACAGTTCTGTGTGGCATCAGTCCATATGAGAGTCCTCCATGATCCCACAGGGCTTCAATAATGAGGTCCAGGCTCTGAGGAAGCCGGTGCATGGCTCACAGTGTTTCATTGTGTTTGTGTTTCATTGTGTTTGTGAAGTTCACCTGATCGACACACCAGCTGTCAACAACTGTACCATCCGTGCTCCAGTTATGTTGAGTCTTCCCAGGCACCTCAACCCCTACTCACATCTTGCGTCTCAATGGGTCACATGATAGAGTGAGGCAAGGTTTCACCATAGTTTCATCCAAAAGCTCTGCTGATAATGACCCACACCTTTTTTTATAACTTGGATCTTGTGATGAGGCACATGATCAATAGTGTGCCTATGATCCTCTTAAGTGGACAACTCCCACTAGAGTTTAAACACCAAAGGAGAAACCTCTTCAAAAAGCTTCATGAGGTCCAGTCGCCGTCTTCCAAAGCTGCTTAGATCGAATAAATGGTAAATGGACTGGTTCTTGTTTAACTCAACACAACGTGCCTCATTCACCTTTTCTATATAAGAGCTTTCTATCTAACATGCACACATATTTATATTCTGATGGATGCGTCGAATCCATCAATCTTCTTCAGTAGTTTATGTAGACTAAAAATGACCATGACAAGCAGAGGACGAATGTCAGCACATCAAAGTCTCTTGGTGGCTTTACTGCTTTCACTCAACTGATATATGAGGAAAAAACACTTTGACTTCCTACTTTTGTTCTGTTTCATTCAAAAAAACAAAACATGTAGGTGTTGTGAAAATTGTAATATTTGATTTTAAAAGAGCAATTCTGATTCAAGATGCACCTGAAGAAGTGAAGCAGTGGTCTGCAGGAAAGGAGTCTCTAAACAGGTATGAACAGATCCCTTCACTCAGCCTGTTTGTTTTATGCAGATGTAAGAGCTACATGAAGTCTTCCCTCTGTGACAGTATGAGTGATGATGTCCATGTTAGCATGTTGCCAACGACTGTGCTGGTTTGACCCCTCCTCTCCCTGCAGGGTGGAGCCTGATGGCGTCCGACGGGTGAGCTCGGATCTGAAGAAGTGTACGTTTGATTTTATGATGATTCTTGGAAACAAATCCAACCGTCTTTAAACTACTGTGTCGCTCATTCATATCTCTGATATCAGGAGTCACCATCAAAGAGCCGATCAACGAATAGATGATCGATCAATAACTGCAGCTGGATTTATTTGTTCTCTCTATCAGATTCCTATCAACTCACAATCGACCCAAACACAGTATACAAATGGATCCAGCTGTCTGACAGCAACAGAGAGGTGATGCGTTTGAATGCACACCAGCCATATCCTGATCATCCAGAGAGATTTGACCGCCCTCAGCTGCTGTGCACAGACGGGCTGACTGGTCCTTGTTACTGGGAGGTTGAGTGGAGTGGATATGTTTCTATAGCAGTGAGCTACAAAGGAATCAAACGGAGAGGACACAGTGATGACTGCTTGTTTGGACTGAACAGTCAGTCCTGGAGCCTGGACTGCTCTTACTCTTACTCTGTCTTGCACAATAACACAGAAACCTTCATCCCCAAAGACGTTGTCTCCAACAGAGTAGCAGTGTATGTGGACCATCCTGCCGGCACGCTGTCCTTCTACAATATCTTCTTGGACTCTCTGATCCACCTCCACACCTTCAACACCACATTCACTGAACCTCTGTATCCTGGATTTGGAGTCTGGTCTCATAATTCTTCAGTGAGAATAATGAAGCCGGTCCATGTGCACTGCTCTCCTCCAACAGAGTAGCAGTGTATGTGGACCGTCCTGCCGGCACAGCAAACAACCTCTATCCTGGATTTGAAGCTTGGTTTCATAATTCTTCAGTCAGTCTGTGCTTAGTTCAGTATAAAACTCTGAGAAGCACTGCTAAATAGACCTTTCAGTCTGCATCTTGCACTCAAAAACACTTTCAGATTCATGGATTCAATGATTTAATGTTTTAAACTCCTCTAAATGATTCCTTCTTAATTTCAATCCGTTGAAGATTGAAGCTTCCAGCAACCGTAGAGTGTGAGCCAGGGTCCAAGCTGGACAGGTCACCAATCTGAGACAGGGCTGACATTAACTTCATTCCACTAACTGCATGTCTTTGGACTGTGAGAGGAAGCTGGAGCACCCAGAGAGAATCCAAACAAACAAGCTGAGAACATACAAACTCCACACATGAAGGTGAAGCTGGACTCGGGACTTTGTTGCTGTGAGGTGACGGTGCTGACCTCTGCACCAAAGCTCTTCTGACATGGGGCTGAGAAAATATTTTGCACTGCTGATGAGAAAGAGAAATTCCTGCTTGAACAATGTTCTTTGTGTGATAGAGACTAAATATATATTGATCTTCAGTTTTCTTTACTGATGTGCTTTGTGTGAAGTGTGTTTCTTCTGCTTCGAGTATTTTAAAGTCACTGATACAACAACCACGTTTTTCCTCACCTGGAGCCTTTCAATGAGAGCTTTAGATGAGAAATTCATCATGATGTTTAAATTGAATTCAACTTTATTTACACAGCACCAAATCACAACAACAGTCGCCTCAAGGTGCTTTATATTGTAAGGTCGACCCTACAATAATACACGCAGAGAGAAACCCAGCAATCATATGAAGTCCAGATATGTAATAGTCATTAACATGATCAGAGCCACGAGTGGTTTTAATCTCAGGAAGTTTATACAACAACTTGTAGCACCAACTGTAGTTAAATGAGGCTGCACAACATGAAATGCAGACTACAGAATTTCACTTTAATAATACTGAATGAGAGGAGCAGCAGCTAAGTCGTCTACATAAACCTGGAACAGTGTTTATTGATAGGCTGCGGACACTGCGCTGGTTGCCTGGGGTCAGGAAACTCTCAGGGTTTGCCTGCTCTCGTTGTGCCTAACTGAGCTAGTCTGGGTAAACAGGCACAACATTCACTGGCTTCATCTGGACTGAACCACGGGGAGAACCGGTGACAAGAACACTCTTCCTCCTGGAAGAGGGAGCATGGCTCCTCATCCTCCCACCACAACCACACCAATGATGAAGCTGGTTCATTCATGGAACTGTCTGGAATGCCGAATAACAGGAGCTCTTACAAGCTGGGCACCAGCGTCACAGCTTGAATGCTGGGTGGCAGCGGTGATGGTGGTGACCTGGGTGACCGGTGCAATAAGACTGCTGACTAAGAAGGCAGCAACAGACGAACTCCAGAAAACTCATCTCCAGTCAACCAGGGAACACATGATGGTAGGTCAACATAGACTGACACAGACACTGAGGAATAAACAGCACTATTTAAACACCCGAGGGTCAGAGGCATCAGGAGAAACAAGAGTGTAACAAGACGCAGGTGAGGATCATCAGAAGCAATGAGACAGAAGGTAAAACTAGACCAGCAACCGTCAGGACGTCAGAACCTTTAACTAGGGGAGCTGACACGAGAGGACACGATCGGAAAGGGAACAAATTAAACTCTGAACCAGGTGAACAACATTACTGCAAATACTTTGTGTTACAAATATTTTTCAGAGTCACCTATTTTAATGCAGCCCCTCACTCTGACAGTGTAATTTCACAGGATTAACTAATTTATTTGGATCACGTTTGAAATGTCATGATTTTTGCTGTAGATTAACAGATGGGAGCATTCAGACCACTGCAGTAGCAACAACCAGTTTAGTCAGCGCTACTTTCTCCTGAGATGAAGCCAAAATGTTCCTTTCTTTCTTTCCGTGTTTAGAAGCATCTGGACCTGCTCGTCATCACTCGTGTCCACTTCTTACACTTACAGTGCATTTTTGAGGAACACCTTTACTGTGTATATATCACGGTTATTATAGTGAACTAATATAATCTGCATGTGAAAAGCCTTTTGGTTAACTAAAACAAAAATAAAAACTAGACCTGAAATTATTTTGTGAACTTGGAAAAAAGAAAAGAAAGATTAACGGTGGAAATCCCCGTAGTTTCAATATTTGTGAATTTGATCAAAACGTTCAGAATGTGCTTTATGAGGCTTTATGTGACGTTTGCCATCCAGGCAATAATAATTAATAAAGACTAAAACTAAAACAGACAATGACAGTTAAAAATAAATATTCTTAAACATTGCAAACTAAACTGAAATGATTCAACTCAATCTAAAAACTTATTAAACCTACATTGAATTAAAAGCCAAATGTGATGGTCTCTGTCGTCTCCGGCTGATTTCTCGGTTTGTTTGCTGTCTGTCTCTGGACTTTAGTTTTCTCTCTCTCCTCTGTCTGTGTTCCTTTGTTGTTGTTTGTGTTCCTTTGTTGTTGTTTGTGTCATTCTTCACTGGACTGTTGAATTAGTGAAGCCCTGGCTCCTCCTGCTCAGTGTTTGTGCTGCTTCTGATGCTTCAAGATATTTGCTGTGTGTTTCTTCTGTGTAGACTCCTGGTTTTGATCTTCCCAGGTGTGTGGTAAGACAAACCCTGAGTTGAGAGAGTGTTGTGTGGACTCCTTTCCTCCCTGGAGTCCCTGGAGCACTATACGCCTCCAATGAACTTTACAAATCATATATTTGAGTCCAACCTGCCTACCAACACAGATACACAAAGTCAAAATATGTAATGTAAAGGCTTAAGACTGCATTATAATAAACAACTAAATGTTCCAAAATGCAAAACAGAACTACGAATGTTGAACAACCTTAAAAGTTCAAACATTATTAATCACACCAAATCTCAACAACAGTCCCCTCAAGGTGCTTTATATTGTGAGGTAGACCCTACAATAATCAGACCCAAGATCATGTGCAGCCGATATTTTACAGAATCTGTCCTCTGTGTTGGAAAGGCTGTCAACTGTGTGTGGGAGCCCCCTTGTGGCGAGAGGGCACAGGTGCACTATTGAACACATGTTCCAGGGATCAGAGTTTGAGCGGACTGACTCAGCGGGGGATGTCGACACACAGTGTGAGTCGTGCGCGTTGCTAAAGAACTGAGTGGACGTGGAGCCCTGCCTGGAAAGGACAGCTTTAGTCTTTTAGGCATTTAGTGGATGTAGAAGTGCAATGTGTATTGGCCTGTTCACCTGTGTGGCCAGTTCATGCTGCTAATGTTGTACACAATAATAATACTGCACACTTTGTATTGATCCCCGTGGGGAAATTCACTCAGTGAAGCAGTGGGCAGACACCAGTGCAGCGCCCGGGGAGCACTGTGTGGGGATGGTACCTTGCTCAGGGGTACCTCAGGGTAGCCGTTCAGGGGATTCGAACCCCTGACCTTACGATCATGGGGCGACCGCTTTGGTTGATTGGCTGTTTTGTGTTGTTGGGTGTATTGGCAATTAATGTCATGGACTGTAAGGTTTTCTGAGTAGTGCATGGAGATCTTCATATCGGAATTTCCATTTGTAGTTCTGGTCAGACTGGAAGAAAGCTCATGAATCTTAATTCATGACTTAAATGTTTGTTATATTCAGTATTTTGTATATGTTCTGCTCTTGTTAGCTAACAGCTAACAGCCCCCCCCACCTACGAGTTCTTGTACATCCTCTGTAAGCCTGCGGTTGCATTACTGTGCTGCTGTGCTGCGCTGTTAAGCTACAGAATCACAGTAAAGACGGAATAACCTTATTTGTGCGTCCTGTGTGTTCTGACACCACAAGGTGAACACCACTGCTATTCAGCCAACGCCGATACAGTCCTGGGTTCAACCCAAATTAACTCAGAATCAGAACAGAAGCAGAAAGAATGGCTTCTAAGTACACAGCAGATTGTCTCTCTCACTCACTGTCTGACTGCTACAACTATCACAGCCGAACATAAAGACAGGTTCAGATATGCTTTTTTCCCTGCTGTCAAATAATTGTGTAGTTATCAGTGAATTCACTGTCACTGATGATTCCAGGGAATCCTCTCCTCCCCAAACTTTACAGTCTGAACGGGAAACTTGTGCAGACACTGATGTGGAGAAGCCAGCCGTAAAAGTCACTGTCTGGATGTACTTGTACTTGTAACTGCACCTCTTTAGTTTCTTTTAACACCAGCAGATGTTTCGCTGTTCATAAAGACTCTTAACAGGTTTCTGTCTGGCTCCACCCACTGATGCTGAACTCAGCCAATGAGATGGTCTCTCTGTGCAGAACTACAGCCTGATATTGAGGAGAAGGCTGTGCAGCAGAGAGGCTGCTTAGTCTTTTCATTCTGCTGAACTTTGTTCATCTGCTGTGTGACTTCAGCACCTGAAACATGTTCCTTTACCTGTTTGTACTTTTCTCTCACTGCATAGGTGAGTGTTAGAACACAGAAAAGTCTCATGGTGACAAGATTTGATCAGGAAATAAAAACCAGAGGAGACACAGATTCAGGGAGGAGCTGAGCTGCGACTGAAGAGCAGACGAGACAGAGAAACCTCCACATTCAACACAGAAGATTCAGTCCAACATGTTGTTGTTGGGCTGTTATGAAACTTCTCTGTTAATCATCATGATTCTAACAGGTACATGTGAAAAAACTTCATCCTAATATTTTAATTATTATTCACGATTTCTTTGTATAATATTTACAGATTTCTGTTTCTTTAGGTGTCAGCTGTCAACAACTCACTGCCAGCAAAGCTGAAGAGTCCAGTTTGGAAGGCAGCACAGCTACTCTGTCCTACAGATACTCCAGACAAGCAACTGGAGGTGATCAGTTCTACTGGTATCGACAATATCCTGGAAAACCACCAGAGTTCCTGACCTTTAACTTGGGAACACAAAACACAACAAATTCCAAACTTTCTGTCAGAATGGTCGATGACAGAAATGGTCTGAACCTTCAGATCTCCTCTGCTGCAGTGTCTGACTCTGCTGTGTACTACTGTGCTGTGAGGCCCACAGTGACAGGAAACAGCAAAACTCTGTACAAAAACCTTTGGAGCAAAGACAACAGAATACTCCACAACATCCACTAGAGGGAGCCACACACTGTTAAACCTCTGATTCTTGTGTGACTGATGACAAAGACAACAGAGAAATGAAGCAGTAAAGATCAGAGACAGAGACAGAGCTGCTGTGGAAGCACAGAACTGTTTGATTGGTTGAGCTATTAAACTGGCCCCGCCCACTGAAGCTGTGCTCATCCAATGATATTATTTGTTGGTCATTGTGCTGCAGTGGAAGAACATTGTTCATGTGCTGTCTGTCTGGCTTTAATAACTCCAAAGACATGTTGCTGCACCTCTTTTTGCTTCTATCTCACATTATAGGTGAGTTTAAGAACAGGGATTAAAGTTTAGTTGAAGCTGCTGCATTAAGCAGATATACAGACTGCATTTCACTACTTTTCTTCTTTCTTTTTCCAGGACTAACAGCTGGAGACTCAATCACTCCTCAACAACCTGAAGTCACTGAAACAGAAGGACAATCTGTCACACTCACATGTAGCTATGAGACAAGTGTTAGCTATATCGAGCTTCACTGGTACAGACATCATTCTGACCTTCAGGCTCCTCAGTTTATACTCTGGAAAAGAGCAAGAGGATCCACAACTCAGTATATTCCTGATAAACGATATGACTCAGAAACAGCTTCTTCATCAACTAATCTGACCATAACAGCCCTAACCCTGGCAGACACAGCTCTCTACTACTGTGCTCTAGAAACACAGTGATACAAAGTGTAGAAGAGGCTGTACAAAAACCTGAACACAGATATCTGACTACTCTTCAAAGAGGAGGGAAGTGGTATTCAAAGCACAGCTTCATATCAGATGGATTCTGCTAATTCCTGTTTTATCAGAGTCACTGTGGTTACAGCTGCTAATGAAACACTGTGGGAGGATTCACATGAGCAGCAAATCCACATCAACCACAAACCAACTGCAGGAACGTTCAGACATGAAGACATTTTATTCCTTATTTAGTGATGATGTGTGTAAAAAGCATCAGAAGTCAAATACAGTAACTAGTAATAAACTCCCAACATTGTTGGTGCATTAATGATATTTTACAGCTGAAAGATTTACTTTGTTATTCTCACATTTTCTCCTGCATGGTTTAAACTTTTCCTTCATTTTTTTTATGAGAATCACGTCTTTGTGTTTTCTCGCGATGATGTCATAGGTACAGTTTCTCCTCTGTGTTCTGATTGGACATTTAAATCATTGATGGTATCAGATCCATTTCACACGTTGTTGAAGTTCAGTCTGAAGTCACTTTAAGTCTCAAAGCTTCACTTTAACCTGCAAAGACCAACAACGTCTCATTTCCTACTGATTCTTCTCCCCACACTGCACCACTACACCGGATATCAGGACTCCACACTCTCCAAATTCCCAGTGTTAAAATTCAGTCATGAAACATTTTGGCAGATACAAGAAGATTCTTCTACTGTTTTCTCTTCTTCAGATTTTAAAGATGAACATCATGATCCACACTGACACACATTCATATTCTTCGGTTTCCTGGATTAAAACGGAGCCTCTGCTCTTTATTTATCCTGTGCTTGTTTCTCGACTCACAGTTCAGTCTGTTAAACCTGCTTCCTGCAATAGGAGCAAATATCCACTGAGAGCAGCAGAAAGACGTGCTGAGTGTGAAGCTGTCAGCAGGGGGAATAACACAGGGCTGTGAATGAGTCCTGTCACTGTGATCAGGCTCCTCCTTCTAATCCACCAACTTAGTGTTGATGAAGACTAAACAGAGAGATCACAGCTTCTTTATACTTGCTGTAGCTCACAGTTACTCTACACTGCAGATATGACGCCTCTGTTCATCTCAGTGCTGCTGGCTGCTATGTGCCTCGGTATGAACACAACTCTGTTTCTTTGATATCAACATTGACGTGATTCTTTAACAGCACACTGATACTGTTTGTTGGTGTTTTACAGAATGCAGAGCACAAAAAGACAACGTGCTGCAAGCAAAAGGAGAAGAGACTGCTGCTGCAGGAGGCACAGTAACACTTGACTGTCTCTATAACACCAGCAGTTTAACAGGTACTTCTCTCTTCTGGTACAAACAGGATGGAAACAACAGCCCCAAATTCATCCTGAGTCGCTATAGTGGGGATCAAGGAAACACAGCAGACGAGTTCAAGGAGAGATTTTCATCCACACTGGATTCCAGCAACAGATCAGTTCCTCTGAAGATCCAGAAGCTTCAGCTGTCTGACTCTGCTGTGTACTACTGTGCTCTGCAGCCCACAGTGACAGGAAACAGCAAAACTCTGTACAAAAACCTTTGGAGCAAAGACAACAGAATACTCCACAACATCCACTAGAGGGAGCCACACACTGTTAAACTGTCACCTGTAGGTCTGAATTCTCTGTTCTTATGATTAAACAAAGTCTTATCTATAACTCGTTATGTTACATCTTATTACTGTGCTGTTGTTTGATGTTTCCTGTGTTTCTTACATTATGTATAATATGAAGAATTGTTTTATGAAAGTTTGATATTATAGATATTATTTTGCTGTGTCTCTGGACCCTCTGAAAAACACTTTTACACTACAAAGGTGTCGACGCCTCTCATGTAGTTGCTGTGTTTTCTGGGACTGTGCTGATGTGTTTTCCATGATTAAACACAGCTGCAGTCATCAGAGCCGTGCACTACTTTGTGTTAGAGAACTTCAGGGTTGTCCCGGGTTTCTGTGTTACGAAGGTGGTTCACTTCTCACCAGGACAAATCACCAAAGAAACTTATGCTGTGAACTAACCTGCCACACAAAAGGTTCAGTTCCACATTAGAGATCAACAGGTATGACATCACCACCCACCGACCAATCAATTCTCCAGGAAACAGGTCATCATTCCTGGCAGATCCTTCGGACCTCCGTGCAACAGTAGGAAGGTCCAAAGTTTTTTCTTTAATATAGAGTAATGTCCTTCAGTTTCCCTGGTGAGCATCAGTAAGAAGTAATAAATAATCCAGATTTTTATTTATTGATTTTTTCCTTTGGTAAGAAACAAACGTACAATAAATGTGTTGCTTTATTGGCAATACAGGGAGTGCAGAATTATTAGGCAAATGAGTATTTTGTCCACATCCTCCTCTTCATGCATGTTGTCTTACTCCAAGCTGTATAGGCTCGAAAGCCTACTACCAATTAAGCATATTAGGTGATGTGCATCTCTGTAATGAGAAGGGGTGTGGTCTAATGACATCAACACCCTATATCAGGTGTGCATAATTATTAGGCAACGTCCTTTCCTTTGGCAAAATGGGTCAAAAGAAGGACTTGACAGGCTCAGAAAAGTCAAAAATAGTGAGATATCTTGCAGAGGGATGCAGCAGTCTCAAAATTGCAAAGCTTCTGAAGCGTGATCATCGAACAATCAAGCGTTTCATTCAAAATAGTCAACAGGGTCGCAAGAAGCGTGTGGAAAAACCAAGGCGCAAAATAACTGCCCATGAACTGAGAAAAGTCAAGCGTGCAGCTGCCAAGATGCCACTTGCCACCAGTTTGGCCATATTTCAGAGCTGCAACATCACTGGAGTGCCCAAAAGCACAAGGTGTGCAATACTCAGAGACATGGCCAAGGTAAGAAAGGCTGAAAGACGACCACCACTGAACAAGACACACAAGCTGAAACGTCAAGACTGGGCCGAGAAATATCTCAAGACTGGTTTTTCTAAGGTTTTATGGACTGATGAAATGAGAGTGAGTCTTGATGGGCCAGATGGATGGGCCCGTGGCTGGATTGGTAAAGGGCAGAGAGCTCCAGTCCCACTCAGACGCCAGCAAGGTGGAGGTGGAGTACTGGTTTGGGCTGGTATCATCAAAGATGAGCTTGTGGGGCCTTTTCGGGTTGAGGATGGAGTCAAGCTCAACTCCCAGTCCTACTGCCAGTTTCTGGAAGACACCTTCTTCAAGCAGTGGTACAGGAAGAAGTCTGCATCCTTCAAGAAAAACATGATTTTCATGCAGGACAATGCTCCATCACACGCGTCCAAGTACTCCACAGCGTGGCTGCAAGAAAGGGTATAAAAGAAGAAAAACTAATGACATGGCCTCCTTGTTCACCTGATCTGAACCCCATTGAGAACCTGTGGTCCATCATCAAATGTGAGATTTACAAGGAGGGAAAACAGTACACCTCTCTGAACAGTGTCTGGGAGGCTGTGGTTGCTGCTGCACGCAATGTTGATGGTGAACAGATCAAAACACTGACAGAATCCATGGATGGCAGGCTTTTGAGTGTCCTTGCAAAGAAAGGTGGCTATATTGGTCGCTGATTTGTTTTTGTTTTGTTTTTGAATGTCAGAAATGTATATTTGTGAATGTGGAGATGTTATATTGGTGTCACTGGTAAAAATAAATAATTGAAATGGGTATATATTTGTTTTTTGTTAAGTTGCCTAATAATTATGCACAGTAATAGTCACCTGCACACAGATATCCCCCTAAAATAGCTAAAACTAAAAACAAACTAAAAACTACTTCCAAAAACATTCAGCTTTGATATTAATGAGTTTTTTGGGTTCATTGAGAACATGGTTGTTGTTCAATAATAACATTATTCCTCAAAAATACAACTTGCCTAATAATTCTGCCCTCCCTGTAATGTCTGATGCTAAAACAGGAAACCTGTTCTGTGCTTGCTGCCTTCATATCAAATCTGCAGTAAAGTTTTATTCTATTTTTATATTGAATCTTTCCTCTGAAACTGCAGCTGGTCTGCATGTGAGGGAATCAAAGCTCACCAGCTGGTTACAGTGGGGCAAAAAAGTATGTAGTCAGCCACCGATTGTGCAAGTTCCCCCACTTAAAATGATGACAGAGGTCAGTAATTTGCACCAGAGGTACACTTCAACTGTGAGAGACAGAATGTGAAAAATAAAATCCATGAATTCACATGGTAGGATTTGTAAAGAATTTATTCGTAAATCAGGGTGGAAAATAAG